AAGGCGCTGTATCAAATTCAAAGAATATACTATTGTTATTATAATACAGGAAATTCCTAATAACTCATCACTCTAAGGGAAATTGGCTCAGTGATGAGTTATCCAGAGTGGCGAGTTAGGCATATGTATAAATACATAAGTAAATGCAGCTGGAAATTGTACAGCTTGATGACTTAAGTGGAAGTGACAAGTTAAGCCAGTGTCGAGTTTTCAGGAGTTTACTGTACTGCAAATTGCATTTGATATGGCGCCTTTCACATCAGGAGGATGTCTCAAAGTGCGTCACAGGATTTATTGTAAAGTGTAATGACTGTGTATTTTGTAGTGCAAAATTTTGGATCATATAAATTACAATCAACTTCCACGGTTGGAGCCCACCATAATAATAATCGTAATCATTGCATTTGATATTATGACGTCTTCAAGACGTATAGAATTATAGAATCATAGAATCGTACAGCACAAAAAGAGGCCATTCGGCCCATCGAGTTTGTGCTGGCTCTTTGAATAGAGCAATTAATGTCAATCCCACTCCCCAGCCCTTTCCCCATAACCCTGCAAACCCATCCTCCTCAAATACCCGTCCACCGTGTTTTTAAAAGTAGTTATCGAATCGGCCTCGACCACCCTTTCAGGCAATGCGTTCCAGATTTGAACAATTCGCCGCGTGAAAACATTTCTTCTCACCTCCCCTCTGCTTCTTTTAGATACTATTTGTATTTAAGATTTGTATTATTTGTATTGTCTCAGAACGTTTCACAGAATATACTGTAAAGTGAATTCACTGTATATTTTGTGGGAAAAGCGCGGTAGCCAATTGCGTTCCACAAACAGTCGTGGATTGACTGACCAAATTACTATTTTTTTTCTGCAGGGACTATTACCCCCATAAAAGTGATCCGCCAATCGACTAACAACCAGATTCCTGCTAGGTTACTGCTTGTTGAACAGAGACGTGTGGAGTAAGGAAACTTTCCCAACATTTCATCCTACCCAGGAATCAAACCCAGGTCCTCTCACTTGCAAGGCGAGTGCTCTAACCAATATGTTACAGGACTCCACACTATCCCATAATCTCACATTTTTTAAAATAAAAAGCCACCATTTTTACAAAAAAAAACAAGTCTGTTTCAACTCCCAATGTGCAACTCATTACATTCTGCGGAACACAATGCAAATTACGAGATAAATCCATGACTGGCACAGAGTCAAGGCAGTCTCTGAAAAAACTGCCGTAATGAAAAACAGCAACCTTGATTTAATGGATTTGAGTTATCTCAGTTTAGGTGGACTACAAGCACAAAGTACTTTTTGACGAAATTCAATAGAAACCTCTCAATTCTTCTTTACAGAAAGTAATAGGTTACTCTCTGAAAGATTTTCTCTTTGCTAAAATATCCTTCTTTCTTGTTTTTTTTAATGATTTTCTAAAAGGTTTCTTGGAGCACTTTGTAACATTTATAATCAATTTCTCAGCAATGTAATTATGCTCGTATACAGTCTTCTGATATCCAATTTACCTGGAATTGTGATAACTATCATTTCTCATTTTCTGATGAAAGAATACCATTTCTGTATAAAAATAGGTTTTCATTTAAAAACCTAGACTTTTCTCTGTATGTTCCCTAAGCTGTCTCAAATCTGCCCATTCAAGCGGAAATATACAACATACCTGTGAATGTTCCTACAACCTTAAAGATATTTTAAGTTTTTCAAACCATTTCGTTGCAACTTCCCCTTAAATGTAAGCATTTCATCTCAGTGAAAGCAGAGTAATAAAAGAATTTGTACTTTTTATAGTGACTTATTGCTTTGAAGTGCCTCAAAGTGCTTCACAAGCAATTATTGTTAAGATCAGTGACTGTTTTGCGGGCAAGCATAGCAACAACAAAAATAACTTTGCACTTATATAGCACCACTCATGCAGAATAGAGTCCCAGAGCACTTGTACTCAGCACCATTTGTGCTAAAACAAGTCCCACAAACAGCCATAAGGTGAAAGAACAGTTTTTTCTGGTGGATTGTCAGCCAGCACATTTTGTTCACTATCTGGACTGAAATGTGAAGAATGCCTATTTGGACAAGATCTCAGAGGGCTGCTGGCTGGTGCTCTTCGAACTGTATCTTACCACGTGACAACGGCTTCGGTAGAGTATAGGAGACAAATGGAGGGAGAAACTCTTACATCCATATCAACAGTTGTGATAGCTGAGCAGTTAATTTGAGAGGATATCAGAAGTATGTCTTTATAAAGAAGTGGTACCAAGAAAGGAGTTGAGACAAGGACGCTGGATCTCATTTAAGAAACAACTCGATGTTGCAATGGGAGGTAATAGATAGGGTGGGTATTCTGGGATCAGATAGACCAAAAGGACCTATTTTATTACCACCTCTCTTATGATCTTTGTGCTGTGTGCAAACTGGCTATTGAGATCCCCCACAAAATACAGTCAATATATATTACAATATATCCTGTGAAGCACTTTGAGGTGTCCTCATGATTTGAAAGGAGCTAAATCAAATGGAAGTATTATTTATTATTATTTGTGATCTTGTGATGACAAAGTAGTAATATCGCCCACAAATATATGGTCAATTCACTTTACAATCTATTCTGTGAAGCGCTTTGAGATGTCGATAAGATGTGAAAAGTGCTATATCAAATGCAAGGATTACTATTATTATTATTATTATTATTATTATTATTAATGTAAGCCCATATATTCAGTGTAGCATATCCTACCATTTAACTCCACATCCATACAGACCATTCTCATTATTTTTCTCTCTTGGAACCACGAGTTTTCTCTCTTGGAACCTCCATTCAAATGCTCTCTTTAGAGCAAGCAGCATTGCAAATAATAACTTTCTGATGTGTCTCCTGACAAGCCCAATACATTTCATGACGGATCACCAGAAACATCAGTAATATCACCAGCAAAAAGCAAGAAAATCAATCAAACCAAATTTGAGAAAAGATTTCTCAGCTAAATTAGAAAGCATTGCTCTGACTGCCGAACTTTTCCTCTGAAGATGCACAGGGAAAAAAACTTGGAAAGGCTGTATTTGTGAAGTACATTTTCACATAGACAAATGCCCACCCTAGCTGCACATTGCATTTTTCAGAATTTTAAAAAAACTGCAAATATGCATCTTTCTAACAACCATTTCTGCAATATTTGGTTTTTCACTTCCCACTTTTTAAAAATTATTCAGGCAATTTACATTGGGAAGTGAATTTTAGCATTTTTACAAAAAACATCCGAGTCAAAAAGCACTGAAGCTTAAGATCAAGAAATCACCCAAGTTTTCCACAGTAATAATTTTCACCTACAAAATATACAGTTTACAGTATATTCTGTGAAGCATTTTGAGCCGCCTCAACGATGTGATAGAGCGCTATATCAAATGCAAGAATTATTATTATTTAACAATAGAGATGGGAGAAGGAACAGTAATAGTAATACACTGACCAAAATTTGAAGGTATAATATCTCAGAAAATAGCCTGAAGGGAAAATGAAAGCAAACACAGGAGCACAAAATGTGGGAGGTTTCCCCTTCACTCTGTTTCTTTTCATTATAAATATCAACAATCTAGCTCGAGAATTTCCACGTGTAGGGGGGAATGTATGGAATTCTCAGTTTGGTTTTAATAATAATAATCCTTGCATTTGATACAATGCCTTAACACGTTGTTGAGATGTATCAAAGCGCTTCACAGAAATAAAGTACAGGGACTGTGTATTTTGTGGACAAAATGCAGCAGCCAATTTTTGATACTCTTAAGCACAGTGATGGGTTTCTGCATGTGTCAGACACCCAGCTGACCAAAAAAAAATCAAACACGCTTTACAAATTTCTTAAACTGCAATTCAAAAGTTTAAAAAACACAGGTCCTTTACCGCTGTCTTTTGTCACAGTTCCCACTTAAAATACGTTCTTGAAATGTGTGGTGGACGTTACACATGCATGACAATTGTGCTGGTCAAGGTCTGAAGACTGCTTCAGACACCAGCTGTTCTAATGCAATACATTAAGATATACTTTACACTTAGATCACTGGCACGTTCCCTCAATAGACTGCCTGCCTGCAGCAATAAAGACACAAGCAATTATAACAAACTGCACAGAAGGCAACTCCAAACGTTTATACAGTGCAAGGTTTGCCTGTACTAATTGCATTCCTCCCTGAAGTCTATTATTCCTGCATTTGGTTGCAACTGGAGAATGTTTTGAATATTAAAATCTAAGGGACTAAACCGATAGTGGAGCCTTCAGCAGCATAATGTCACTGATAGAAAGAGGATCAACTAAACCAATAATGATTTCATGCAATACCTTCCTGCCACATCGGCTGTCGTAAGAACAAACATGTCACTTATGACTGATCCTCCGATCAATTCTAGTGCCAGTCTTTATAGAAATTGGATGCTGGTTACTCAAGTACGGGTGGGACATACTTGTTATTATATTTACTCCCAATTGTTTCACCTTTATTACTTCATTAATCAACAGCCTTTTTTGGCCCACAAAATATACAGTTAATTCACTTTACAGTATATTCTGTGAAGCGCTTTGAGACGTCTCGAAGACGTGATAAGGCGCAATATCAAATGCAAGGATTATTGTTTTTATTATTTATCAAACAAAGTCTAACCTGAATGCGCGGAGAGCTTCCAGGGGAAGATATGAATGAACCCACTTGGAAAACGGTAATTATTACTATTTAATGATTTCCAAGTGTTGACTACCGAAACAATCTGACTGCCCGTATTCAAGGTAACAAGAAGATCTGAGGTATGGGACGAGGTGTATGTTATATTTTTAAGCGCTTGGATAATATTTGTAAAACATTCCTTTCCGCTGAAAAATAGAAACCACTTTAATTACTTAACAACGGCTATTTTGCCTCCAACAGGCAAACGGGCAGGAAATACTCGGCTGCCGCTAGAGGTCAGTGTGAATTGTAGACATTTCCCAAGTGTGTGACTGACTCACTTGCAGTCTCTGTCCTCCAGATCAAAGTGAGGGTTGAAGTTGATCATAATCCTCTGGTAGGGCTGAGGCGCTTGAATGGTCCAGGCGCAGCTCTCCCGGGGGTAGTAAGAGTTGGGGTACCCGGGAGAGCTCAGGTACCCGGGGCTTGTGATGTGTATGGTGTCCCCACATCGATCTGCAAAGCAAAAAACATACAAATCCGTTTAAACAGTACTGACTGATCGCTTGTCTCACGTGTGTTGGGGTGAGGTGAGGCTCTGTCACTGCTCTCTCCAGGGATAACCCTCCAAGACCTGCGCTCCAGTCTACACTGCACTTGGGGGTGAGATGTGCAGCCGCTTATAAACCACTTACAGCTCTGGGGTTCATCCGTTGCTCCAGTGTTAACACACACGGCGATGACACATTGCTGTCAGTAGGACAGTGAGGTTCATAAACTTAATTGTCCTCATGTCTTGTTATGATGGTGGTGATGGGGAGAGAGAGAGAGAGAATACGTCGCCACAAAACGAGAGTGTAACGAACAGATAAAATGTCCAATTCAACAAAAATGTCTGTGAGTTCTGAGGACTGGCGTTTACTCATCAATCCAACTGTCTGAAGCTTTGTAAAAAAGCCATACATTAGGTTTGTTTTATGACAATAATCTATTTTGCAGTGGCTTTAAGTTAAATTGGGATGCAATCAGAAAGCCTTTTCATTTCTCTCCCCCCTTCTCTCTCTCTCCCTCCCTCTCTGACCCTGGACATTGGAAGGGGAGGTGATCACTGACCGAAGTCCCTTCAATAAATTGTAGGGGGAATAGAGAGAACTTTTACACAATCAATGGAGCGAGTGGGATTCAGGGGTCATGTTAACTTGTCTTTAAGAACAAAGGCTGAGAAAAGGTGAACGCACCGATGCTTAAGTAACAGACCAGGAGTTCCTGATAAGTTAAGTGGAATGATTCAAGCGTGAAACTTGGCAAAGTTAAGGAGAGAGGTGGGTCGGGGCAGTACAGTACAGTAAGCACTCCAGATTTCTAACCCTGTGTTTGTTTCCTTCTCTCTCTGCTTACAAACACTGCCCTTCAGTAAGTCACAGTATAAGGAAGGACAGCGATGTTGCACCAATAAGTTGTGTCGTTAAAGCGAAGCGAGTGCTTTACTCCATTCATTTCAGCTTTAAGCGGTGCAAACCTGTACACAATATTACCTTTATTCCTTCTACCTACAACCGCAATGATTCAGGGATCATGTTAACTTGTCTTTAAGAACAAATGATTCCCACATAACGATCGGCGTTGCTATTGTATTGCGTTGTACTGTTATAACCTTCACACACACACAGCTTTACAGCGGTTCTAAATGATTCCTTTTGTTCATCTTCATTCGCAAATCTTTCCCTTGAACTTTATTTCGCAGCTATCGATCGATGCATAACTATTGCACTGTATCCATCTATCGATGCAATCGTTCTCACTACTTTCTGGGTCTTCCTGACTGCACATTTACCATCGTGTCACAGAAGATTTTACACTTTGTGTGTGTGTGGGGGGAGTTTTTTTTTCAAATTTAGATTAAAATAAAAAATTGATCAGATTTGTAAATCGGTTCGTTATATCGCGCCATGTTATGTCCTGTAAATTGGCTTCCTCTCCCTTTCCCTCCCAGACCCCCCCCCCCCCCCCCCCCCCGCTTAACAAAAATGCACAGTCGCTACACTTCACAGGCAATCCTTGCCAAGCGCTTTGAGGCGTCCTCTCCACGTGAAGGGCGTTGTACCAGATGCGAGGATTATTATTATTCCGTGAAGCGTCTTGAGACATCTCAACGACATGATAAGGCACTTTTATCAAATGTAAGGGATTAGTAGTATCAGTAGTAAACTCTGGGTTGACTGTTGGAAGGAGCTGTTGGCACTGGGATTCATCATAACAGTGCAAAGCCCTGACACTGGAGAAAGAAGCCATCAGGTCTGTGCAGTGTCAATCCCAGTGACTGGGCGGACTGGGACTGGCTGCTAATGTTAGGGCCTTAATGAAAGAATTCAGCCCACGGTATCTGAGAGAAGGTTGTGGGGGGGGGGGGGGGGGGGGAGGCTCTTTCGGGTCCTTTAGTTTCCGAGACGAGGTTAATGTGCTTAGGCGACAGTCTTAAACCCCATGGCCAGGCGGCGTGTGATCTGCTCCGGGGGCCTGGATACAGTGTAGATAAGAAGGTGCCCCCCCCCCCCCCACCCCACACCAAGTCTTCAAACACAGATCTTTGCTGCCGCGACCAGAAGGGAAGATGATGTGCCGCCTCTAAATCCGAGGCACCGCAACACAAACACGAGTGTTGCCCGACCTCCCTGACTGCTCTCTCTGTCCCCATCTCTGCTGCAGCAATGGGCAAATATCATTGAAACTTGTACCTAATGCACCTCTGAAAGGCTTTGGTATTTAACAAGAGAGCCGAGCCTTTGCCCTGTGTGTTTGCACAGTTCTGTTTGAGCAGCCTTGAGTACACTCCTGAATGGGGTTGTCTGCTCTTGAGGTGGATATTCTGCTTTGAAAGAACCGCTCGTCAGTTACAGTAAGTTCACAGCAACTGGTGGCAAAGGAACAGTCCGTGTCCTCTGAGACAGACTGAGTTGAGTGTGCGCTCACTGCTGAACCCCATCAGCCCCATCCCACGTCCCACAGAACCCGCCGATCGCCGTCCAAACCATCCGCACCCGATTGACTGCACATTGTGAACTTTACAACAACGTTGCACTGCAATTAAATCACCGTTTAAGAAGTGACTGCGATGCATTAAATCATAAGTTCAGCCGTAACAGTGGTGTCCTCTGCACCCGGTGGGCAAAGATCAAACTCCTTCTAAGAGCATATAAGAGAGGATTTCCTTTCTCCAGTTTAGTAAAAGTTGATCGGTGAGTTGCGTCTCTCACGATAAACGCTGCGAATTTATACTAATCCTCGCCTTTGATTTTGCGCTGATTCGCGGCTTCGAGACGTTTCAAAGCGGTTGCGCTGAAACTGCGAATTGGCGATCGATCGATCATTGGACTGTCAGGTCCTCTCGGTGATCGGTTCAGTGATGGGCTTCACTGCCCCATCAATAAGAATGATCTGATCGCACTCCGGAAATGTGCAACATTAACCTGTCTGCAGGCGCCCCCGAGAGAGGGGTCGGTCATCACCCGATCCCATCCCATCCCAGTTACAGGCTTTATCCCCTTAAAGATCCTAACGTGCCCCCGCAGCGAGTTCAGCATCATTTCTAACAGCACTTTCCCCAGTTCCGTGCGCCCCAGAGACAGTGTGTGTGTGTGTGTGTTGTTACTGTTGCTGAAGAGTGATACTGTCTGTCTGGTGTTGAGATCGGCGCATTACAGAGCTGGAAAATAGCTGCGGAGTTAGTTGTTTATGAGCCGAGGGGTCGCCACATACGGTATAATATCCAGTGTTTAGCAGTACAGTATATAGCAGTACAGGACAGGACAGGACAAGTACTCACCGCTTCTGTGCGCTCCAGAGAGCCCGATGAGCACAGTCAGAGTGTGCAGGAGAGCGGCAGTGCGGCGCTGCTTCCTCATCGCACAAAAACAGTCACGATTCCAGGAATTCAGCAAAGAGAAGGGAGAGTCCCGGACTTAGCGAAATTGGTGGCTTTTTGGGTTCTGAGCGGCCCGCATCCTATCATTGAGCTCCCGCTTCCTCTCTGGGCACTTGGCGGATACACTGTTCCTGTCCCAATGTCTGGCGTTACACCATTTCCTAAAGTCCGAGCCAATAAAAGCTTCTCAGCGGCTCCGCCAAACTCCTCACTCACAAGACAACCAGTGATCACACCCCCCACCCCCACCCCACCCGCACAGCTCAGCTCAGCTCAGCTCCCAGACCGGTCCTCTCCTGCTGCTGCTGCTGCTGAGGAGACAGAAAAAGACACAGAGAGAGAAATGAAATAACCCCCATACACACACTCACACCCCCCCCCCCCACACACACACTCACACCCCCCCCACACAACACACACACCCCCCACACACACTCACACCCCCCCCCCACACACACACTCACCCCCCCCCACACACACACTCACACCCCCCCCCACACACACACACACCCCCACACACTCACACACCCCCACACACACACACTCACCCCCCCACACACACACACACACACTCACACCCCCCCCCCACACACACACTCACACCCCCCCCCACACACACACTCACACCCCCCCCACACACACACACACTCACCCCCCCCACACACACACACACACTCACACCCCCCCCCACACACACACTCACACCCCCCCCCACACACACACACACTCACACCCCCCCCACACACACACACCCCCACACACTCACACACACACACACACACCCACACACTCACACACACACACTCAGCCCCCCACACAAACACCCACACACACACTCTCTCACACACACACACTCTCTCTCACACACACACTCACACCCCCACATACACACTCACACCCCCCCCCACACACTCACACACACACACACTCACCCCCCCCCACACACACAAACACCCACACACACTCTCTCTCACACACACACTCACACACACTCTCTCTCACACACACACTCACACACACTCTCTCTCACACACACACTCACACCCCACACACACACTCACAGCCCCCACACACACAAACACTCTCTCACACACAAACTCCCACTCACACACACACTCGCACACACACACACTCTCTCACTCACACACTCACCCCCCCCCCCACACACACACTCGCGCACACACACACACACTCTCTCACTCACACACCCACTCACACACACACAACCATAAGGATCAGGATAGTTCGTTCAACATGCAGTACGTTAAAAGGTCAGGACCAGTTAAATCAGTATCGAGAGCATTAACCTCTCCATTCCCCCCAAAAAAAATCCAAATTAAAGGCAGCAAAACACCGCTCTACATTAAAAGAGTGTAAATAATCGAACACCACTCCTTCTAAAGCGAACGTAAGGTGAGTGAGGTATTGAAATGCTCTCCATTGAGGGCTAAACCCACTTTCTTGTACCTCGGAACTGAGCGGCGGTGCAGTCTGGAGCTGCACTCAGCACTGGGCACCGACCGACCGACCGAGGAGACGGGTTTCTGTTCAGTGGGTTGTCTGAGGGGAGGGGGGCTTCTGCGGAACTATTTCAGTAATAGCGGGGGCAGATTTCACAACTGTACGGTGTGCACAGGACGAGAGAGAGAGAGAGAGAGGGGGTGAGGGTGAGAGAGTGAGTGACAGAGAGGTGGAGATTCGCCGCTGATGACGGTTCAAGTCACTCATCTCCTGTGACTCCTCTGGGAAGTGCGGTCCCGCTGTGCTGTGCGGTGCGGCCCCCGGGCCGCCGCCCACAGACAGTCACAGCACTGACAACAATAATAATAATAATAATACACAAAACACACACACACCCCCGAGAGAGAGAGACGCTCAGATCATCCACACACCACACGAACTCCGAGAGGTTTAGAGTTCAGTGACTTGAGAAGGAGCGGAGCTGCACAGTCCCACACCAACTGCTCCTATTTATGACCTATTTGAAGGGGGAGATGGGCTGAGGAGGGTGAGTGTGTGAGCGGTGGTGGTGGTGGTGGGAGGGGGTGTAGATAGGAAGAGACCATCAATTCTCCGGCTGTAATCTCACCAATAAGCGGTGTGAGCCAACAGCAGGACCCGCCTCGCGGGCGGGAGGGAGGGAGGGCGGGAGGGAGGAGGGGTACCTGTGGAGCTGCCCCGTGAGAGGGATCTTATCGTCAGGAATTATTGTCACCCACTGTTATTATACATCCCGATTGCACGTGTTTCGCTGCGTAAAAATGCAAGAATACGCGGGGGTTAGCGAACAGACTGCGAAAACGCTGTCCGAGCTATCCTGGGGGGGGGGCGAGCTATCCCGGGGGGGGGCGAACTATCCCGGGGGGGCGAGCTATCCCGGGGGGGGGGGCGAGCTATCCCGGGGGGGGGGGCGAGCTATCCCGGGGGGGGGGGGCGAGCTATCCCGGGGGGGGCGAGCTATCCCGGGGGGGGGGGCGAGCTATCCCGGGGGGGGGCGAGCTATCCGGGGGGGGGGGGCGAGCTATCCCGGGGGGGGGGGCGAGCTATCCCGGGGGGGGGGGGGCGAGCTATCCCGGGGGGGGGCGAGCTATCCCGGGGAGGGGGGGCGAGCTATCCCGGGGGGGGGGGGGGGCGAGCTATCCGGGGGGGGGGGGGGGCGAGCTATCCGGGGGGGGGCGAGCTATCCCGGGGGGGGGCGAGCTATCCCGGGGGGGGGGGGGGCGAGCTATCCCGGGGGGGGGGGGGCGAGCTATCCCGGGGGGGGGCGAGCTATCCCGGGGGGGGGGGCGAGCTATCCCGGGGGGGGGAGCTATCCCGGGGGGGGGGGGGGGGGTTGGGGTGTGGAGGGGCACAGCACCGGTTGAGTGAGTTTCATTCATTTCATCATCAATCGCATCGTCCCCAGAAGCCATGAAGGAAAAGCGGCTCCGGACCGTCCTACTCCCGGGGACAGTGGGCACCAGGAGCCCCACACACAGCCCCCCCCCCCACACAGCCCCCCCCCCACACACACAGCCCCCCCCCCACACACACAGCCCCCCGCCCACACACAGCCCCCCCCCCACACACAGCCCCCCCCCACACACACAGCCCCCCCCCACACAGCCCCCCCACACACAGCCCCCCCCCCACACACACAGCCCCCCCCCCACACACAGCCCCCCCCCCACACACAGCCCCCCCCCACACACAGCCCCCCCCCCACACACACACAGCCCCCCCCACACACAGCCCCCCCCCCACACACAGCCCCCCCCACACACACAGCCCCCCCCCACACACAGCCCCCCCCCACACACACAGCCCCCCCCACACACACAGCCCCCCCCCCCACACACACAGCCCCCCCCACACACACACAGCCCCCCCCCACACACACACAGCCCCCCCCCCCACACAGCCCCCCCCCCCACACACACCCCCCCCCCACACACACACAGCCCCCCCACCACACCCCCCCCCACACACACAGCCCCCCCCCACACACACACAGCCCCCCCCCCACACACACAGCCCCCCCACACACACAGGCCCCCCCACACACACACAGCCCCCCCCCCACACACACACAGGCCCCCCCCACACACAGCCCCCCCCCACACACAGCCCCCCCCCCACACACACACAGCCCCCCCCCCACACACACACAGCCCCCCCCCACACACACAGCCCCCCCCCCACCACACACAGCCCCCCCCCCCACACACACAGCCCCCCCCCCCACACACACACAGCCCCCCCCACACACACACAGCCCCCCCCCACACACACACAGCCCCCCCCCCACACACACACAGCCCCCCCCCCACACACACACACAGCCCCCCCCCCACACACACACACAGCCCCCCCACACACACACACAGCCCCCCCACACACACACACAGCCCCCCCCACACACACACACAGCCCCCCCCCACACACACACACAGCCCCCCCCCACACACACACACAGCCCCCCCCCCACACACACACACAGCCCCCCCCCCACACAGCCCCCCACCACACACAGCCCCCCACACACACAGCCCCCCCACACACACACACACAGCCCCCCCCTACACACACACAGCCCCCCCCCCCCCACACACACAGCCCCCCCCACAGCCCCCCCACCACACACAGGCCCCCCCACACACACACACAGGCCCCCCCACACAGCCCCCCCCCACACACACAGCCCCCCCCCACACACACACAGCCCCCCCACACACACAGCCCCCCCCCACACAGCCCCCCACCACACAGCCCCCCCCACACACACACACAGCCCCCCCCACACACACACAGCCCCCCCCACACACACACACAGCCCCCCCCACACAGCCCCCCCCCACAGCCCCCCCCCACACACACAGCCCCCCCCCACACACACACACACAGCCCCCCCCCACACAGCCCCCCCACACACACAGCCCCCCCCACATAGCCCCCCCCACACAGCCCCCCACACACAGCCCCCCCCACACAGCCCCTCCACACACAGCCCCCCCACACACAGCCCCCCCCACACACAGCCCCCCCCCACACACATACAGCCCCCCCCCCACACACACGCAGACACACAGCCCCAAACACTCCCTCCCTGCCTGCCTCCCTCCCTCCCTTGCCTGCCTCCCTCCCTCCCTGCCTTGCCTGCCCTCCCTACCTTGCCTACCTGCCCTCCCTCCCTCCCTCCCTCCCTGCCTGCCTTGCCTGCCTGCCTCCCTCCCTCCCTCCCCTCCCTTGCCCTCCCTCCCTTGCCTGCCTCCCTCCCCTCCCTCCCTGCCTTGCCTGCCTGCCTGCCTCCCTCCCCTCCCTCCCTCCCTCCCTCCCTGCCTTGCCTCCCTCCCCCTCCCTCCCTCCCTGCCTTGCCTGCCTGCCTGCCTCCCTCCCTGCCTCCCTGCCTGCCTGCCTGCCTGCCTCCCTCCCTCCCTGCCTCCCTCCCTGCCTGCCTGCCTCCCTCCCTCCCTCCCTGCCTGCCTGCCTGCCTGCCTGCCTGCCTCCCTGCAACAATGCAATGTGTGTATGACCTTAAAGAACACATTCCACTGTAAATCGATGGTATTTTTGATCCTCTTCTACTTTTTACCCATATTTTCTCTGGATTCATTTGCATGTCTTTTTGATCACCCACCCACCCCCACCCCACACAAAAACCCCCATCTTTATGGGAGGGGAAGGGAGGGTTTGCTCAACCGCCTTCTACAGAACTTGGAACAGTCACAACCAGTTCCAATACGGGCCAACAGGAGGCGCCCCACGCCAGGTCTACTGTACAATCGATGCAGTTATA